AAAGGAAAAATTGAAATCGCATCATATGACCCCTTTAATATAACAAACACACATGCTCCAATAAACAGCAATCTGTCAGTAAAAATCAACAAAACCATTTAAGGCGTAACCACTAAAGCATAACAATCGATAAACAGTTAATTAACACTTGAAATACCACACCACTGCTAATCTATGAGATTTATAATCAATATCCTACTGCTAACTGATAGTGCTCTATTTCTGCAGGGAGCTTGCACATATGCGCACGGACTGCAGTTCTGTGACCCAAAAAAAGTGGCAATGCTTCTTTAAATTTCCCTGTGCTGGCCAAAATGTTTTAAATTCAGGAAATTTAGATAAAGTCAACATGAAGCAGAAATATATGTGATATATATAAAAACTTTAATATATATATATATATATATATATTTTTTTTTTTTATAAGAAAGGAAACACACCCCTTCCAAAAAAGATCCTGTAGGATAAAATGTAGTACAAACCATTTCAGTTATATAAACATTTATAAAGTCTTTTTTCAAAAACATTAATTGAAAGAATAAATGATGGCCACAGATAAATCATTTATATTAAAAACATTTTGGCCTATATCTTGATGTGTGCAGATCTTCATTTCTTGACCTGTTTATGGAATAAATGCACCTGAAGGCATTTATTGTTTTTTTTCTGTATGTGTTTTGGCGGTATGCTTTTTCTTAATCATAATAAACCTTATATCCTTGCCATCTTTGCTGATGAGGCAGTATATGCATAATCAAATGCAGTTACTGTTTCCTCAAGACAAATGCACTTTTTTAGTAATTTGGAATAGCAAAGAAAATTGAGCTCACTGCAGGTCTTAAGCAGAAAAACAAACAAAACTCAATGTAATTGTTTATTCCAACATATTTTTGCCCAGAATTTTTAGAATTCTGCACTAGTACAAAAATACACAAACAGGATGCTAATTATATCATCCCATATTTTGTCCTTATTAAAGAAAATTAAAAGGGATATCCTTAGTGCAATCTTTTGTGCAAGACCTTCATCCCAGAGAGAATGAGAGAGAGATTTCTGTTGCTCTGTCATTCATCATGTGGCTTGTGTAATAGAATTTCATATGCTATTGTGTGTATCTACTGATGGAAGTGCTCTGTCACAAATGCTTTCTGAAATGCTGTACCGTTCTCCATCTGCACGATAACCATTATTAGTAATCGAGAATGTTATATGGTTAGACACCGTTTTACACATATATGCTGAAAAAGCGTCAAAGCACATTTGTCATAGTTAAGAGAAAGAACAGCGTTTTTTTTTTTTACATAAAAACATTAAGCATTCAGGTAAATGAATTCATGAACTCAAAACACTTGTTAAGGAGGATATGGAAATATATCAGGAGTCCCGTCCACTCTTGTCACTTTCATCAGAAGACGGATTCTGGTGCTGGTCGGAGTCGGAGTCAAACATGTGACTGCGCTGTAAAAGCTGTGGCGGACAGCACTGTCTGGAGGTGAAGGGAGGGGGCAGCGAGCAGGACAAATGATCCTCTACACGAGGGATCCTGGCAGGACTCTGGCCGGAAGTGCTGCGTAGGGCTGGAGCCACGGTGGCTGGACTCCCTAACACCACCTCTCTCAAGCGCTGACTCTCTCTGGTCGCTGCCTCCCAAACCACCTCCAATTCACCTTCTACCTCTCTGAGAAACACAAAGATAGAGAGAGAGGGGCTTGTTTTAATGCAGTATGGGTAGGCTTTCCTGATTCAAATATGAGCTCTCATATCATCGCACTCTATAAAAAGGGAGAATGCCTGTTTCACACACACAAGCATTCAGAACACACATGAGCACACACATTTCTGTGACCTTCAGTCATTTTGTACCCTCCAGTCAATACCGGTGGATTCGCACACTAGGCTTTTGAGGGCTCAGCGGTGCAATAATAACAGGTATTAACTGGAAATATGCTAAGGCACAAACTTGAACAGAGTGAGAGAGAACGATAGAGATGAGATGACCGAGTGGATGTCGTAATCATAGATCAATTAGCCGGACCATCTGTTGATGCACATCCTTGCTTCCACATACACACACACACGGTGTATGACAACTGTCTATCTCTCTTTATCTCCCACTGTGTGGAAAGTGGCGAGTCATCTCTGCAAGTGTCCTTTACACTGCAGGTTTCGGGTCTGTGTTATCACAGGGATAGACCCAAAAATGAAAATACTGTCATCATTTACTCACCCTCAAGTCGTTCCGAATCTGTATGAGTTTCTTTCTTCTGTATTTTTTCCATAGTATGGTAGTAAATGGCTTCCGTCAACGGTTTAGTTACCAACATTCTTCAAAATATCTTCTTTTGTGCTCAACAGAAGAAAGATAAAGGTTTGGAACAACTTGATGACGACAGAATTTTCATTTTTGGGTGAACTACCTCTTTAAGATATGTTTTTAATCTGCCATCTTGTCCTCTGCCTGCATCAATAAACGTCATCTCTGAGAGACTCAAGCAGTGTCAAACAGACTAAGTCAAACTCATCTCCCATGGTTTAGACACCACGCACCTCAGAAACATATCTATATTTATGTGTATATATTTGATCTGAAACCATCAAATAACTGTTTTGTTAAAATTGCAGAAATTACTTGTGGTACTGTACTTTCTTTAATGTATTTTTAATTAATATTAATTTAAGAATGCGTTGACAATGACAAGTTTTTGCAACGTGGCTTACTTATTGTTTCCCAAGAAAAGTGTGTTTGACATTACAGCTTTATTAAATGTTTTTGTCATTTTGAAAAAATAAATAAATAAGAATGAATAAATAAAAATGCAATAAATATTTTAACAATTTAAAAAGTTTTTTTTTTTTTTTTTACTTTCTATTTATCGAAGAATCACAGTTTCCAAACAAAAAGTATTAAGCAGCACAAATGCTTTTACCATGAATAATAATAAGAAATGTTTCTTGAGCACTAAATCAGCATATCAGAATTATTTCTGAATAATCGTGAGACACTGAAGACTCAGGGCGTAGATTACGCGGGGGACGCGGGGGACGTGTCCCCCTCACTTTTAATATCACGTAAATTCGTCCCCCGCACTTTTTCGGGCAAGTGTGTTCGCATAGAGGTTTTCAAGAGCCGGTGTGAATAAATATATATTTAAATTCAAAGAGACAGTTTAGTCTGTGCATGATCTGATGTTTTATTCGGACCCAGAATAAGGCGAGATGCACATCGCGGAGCGCTAAACACTCATGCAGTGTATGTTTCATTCATACTCGAAGCCGGAGGGCGCTCTCGCGCAGAAAGTCGTACGAGGAAATGGACAGAAGCGTCCAGCTATCGCTGTATGAACAGTTGTTTTCACAGAAAAACAGAAACGTTTGGAAACATGAAGATATTAACCATACGATTGCGACAATACACAATATATGGTTTATTTGTGTTTGTCAAGTCATCTCCAGGTAATAAATACAGTATATGAACAATGCAGTGCTAACTGACATAGCATTTATTACAGTATAGAAACTATTCTGCCTTATTATGTGATAAAAAAGTTTGTAGTATATAAACAAATAATTATTATTGGTTATTGTCCAGCAGTTATCTGATTTCTAAG